CCAAAGTAATTGTCCTGCCCATAGAAACGTGGGTCTCATGTCCGGGGTTGTTTTTAGGTTAATAATCTTGTGTGCTGTGTGCCTGGACGGCTGAGCCTGGCGGCAGTTCTATGGGTGCTTGTATTGGTAAGTACAGGGCATTTGCGTAACTCTATTTCTGCATCTGGAGATGCCCGTGCCCAGGAGCCTGTGGGCATGGCGATCCGCCTGCTCAGATGACTGGGGCTCTGTGTGGCTTGGATTGTACTGGTTTGAGGGGGTCTCCTAACTCTTCCCCAAAAGGAAGGGAGAGAGCTGTTAGGAGCCCGGAGTGGGTGGCCTGCTAGCCAGACCCTTCCAGGCGCGGCATCTACTGTCCTTGGGCCTTGCCGGCTGGCTCCAGTACCTAGTGCTGGGTTTTAGGCTGAAAGATGGAGAAGCTCATTTCCCCTTAAACACCGCAGATTAAGGGCCCGCAGTGGGCACGGGCGGGAGGGCGCCGTGTCGCTCACGTTACAAATCAATTCATTACCGGCACTCGCAGTCGCCTCCGATCTTCAAGGATCGGGGGTTTGATGAAGAGGATTCATTTCAAGAAATAAACCTTTTAAATTAACCACGAGATGAGGGAAATTTCTTTATTTAAAAAATGCTCAGGCCCTGCTGGCTTTGTTTTCTCTCTCTTATTAGCATTGTTATTAATAATCCCGCCCTCTCTTTCCAGGGGATGGTCCACCCTCCCCGGGGAGGCAGAGTGAGCCACTCGGACGTGGGGACAGGCCCCCAGCTCTGGGGTCCTCTGGCCAGGCCTGTCTGCCCCACCAGGGTCTCCAAGGTCCACCAGTGGGCCCCACCGAGGCTCCTAGGCTCCAGATAGATTCTCAGGCAGGTGGTCATGAACCTGCTGTGTGACCTTGGGCGTGTCACCTGAGCTCTCTTTTCTCAACAGCAAAATGAACATCAATCACTACTTTCTACAAGGAGTTCAGCCCTGGCATGTTATCAATGAGAAACCAGGCCAGGAGAGGTGAAGTGAGTTATCTAAGGCCACACAAAATCTTCATAGCAGAGATGGTTTTGACATCAGCCCAATTTCTGGTCTAGTTTCTCCCTGGAAACAAGCGTTGGGATTTGGGATCTAGACATTACAAAGCCCCTTGATACACATGATCCTCCTAGGTGTGTACTGTAATTTGTCGGCTGTACTGTACCGTCCCTGCTTTACAGATGAGGAGATTGAGGGGCTCTGGGAGGAAACATAAGACATACTCTGTTGGGTCATCTGAGTAGAGTTTAATAAGACAACTATTCACAAAGGTATGGGTAAGGATCAGAGCGCCTGGGTGGCTCCGTCGGTTAAGCGACTGCCTTCGGCTCAGGTCATGATCCCGGGGTCCTGGGATCGAGCCCCACATCGGGCTCCCCACTCAGTGGGAAGCCTGCGTCTCCCTCTCCCACTCCCCCTGCTTGTGTTCCCTCTCTCGCTGTGTCTCTCTGTCAAATAAATAAAATCTTAAAAAAACAAAACAAA